TCAGCTTCATAGCTGACACTGTGTGACAACCACTAGCCATCGCCGCCAACCACTACCATCGGCTATTAGTAGCAACCGACCTCACACACAAGATTTGCCTTCACCATTAAAGACTTATCACCCATCTTGTTCCATTTTAAAACTTATATTTTTCTCATTATTTAAGAATTCAGAACATGAAAATTTACACTACAATATTTGTGAGTTCGCAAAAATATAAGCGTGTAACATTTTTTATTAATAAAGATGAAATTTAATTCTATTCTCATTAATTCATAGTGATATTTGAGGACAATCTTGCATATCAAATATTTCTAGAGCTCGATAATTTGTCATTTATTGATAATTGTACTAAAATCACCTGACTGTTTTTACTCAAAGTCAAACCTGATGTTAGTCATATAATACCCTAGATCTATAATATAATAAAAAACTAATTTGGAACATCCATAAAAAAATTCAAGTACAAGTAATACGAAAAAATTTTTTCAATCACACACTTTCATATTCTTCTATCATGAAAGAGTTCTTCATATTCCATCACGTGTCCACACTCTACAATAGAAAAAAGTAGCGCAATACAAGAATAATCATCTTTTAACCACCATCAAAGTTTTTTTTTTCCCAAAACAATGCCACAAAACAATACTGGAGTGAAAATGTCCTTACTGCCACTTACATTATAATTGCTTGCCTACAAAATGTTTTTGATTTCAAAAGTTCTCTTGAAACCCCTTCAACTGTTTTACCCAACAATAAGTGTCACAAACTATCTATTCCGTTGGATTTTTGAGTGTATTGTCTTTGTCATATTCATTCTCATTAAAGATAAAATTGGATCCATAAACTCCTAAATATGCATTTATGAAGTACTCTCCCACTCAAAAGGGGTAAAAATGTTACCATTTGTCCACTTAAAAATTTTATGTATTTGCGAATGTGATATTTGTTGAATAAGAATCATATTTCACCCAATTTTATATTTAAGGGGTGCTTATATTAGAAGATAAGGATACAAAGCATTTCAATAGACTTTAATCTATCACTTTTGTCACTCACCTCAATACCATCACCAAAGAACATTCATAACCCACTAGAAAATTCATCACCACAATAAAATATCTATGGCGCACTCAAGAATTCACTACGAGAAGAAAACCTTCAAAATCAAGTTTCTCAAAATATCATATCAGACGCTAACCTTGATCCAGCAATGTCAAGTACTGAGCGAAAACCTAACCTCGATCTGAGATCATACTAGACCTACTAAGTGCTACAGAAGATGTCGAAGTATTAATCCCAAAGTCGGTTCAAGAATTAATTTTGATCCTGCAATTGAAGTAAGTTCTAGAAAACTTATGTAGTTCTCTGATAATGATTTATCTATTATATTTCGCAAAAATATAAGAGAATGCACTAAACACCTTTTATATCCTATCTTGCAATTTGTGTCATTTGATAAATGTCTATTAACCCATAAAAATCACAAACTTATGTAATGAATATATCCCTAAAACAATATATGAGATATTGTCTTATGAAAAATGGAAACTGTTGTGAGTACCAAAAGGCAGACACTTGAAAAAAACTAACCTTGGGAAGGGGTGAATTCACTCAAAAGGCAAAAAACCGGTTGGATGTAAATGAGTTTTCTCAATCAAATATAAAATAGATAGGACAATCAAAAACCTCTTCCAATTCTTCTTTGTTTAATGCTTTTTTTTCATTTCGAAGGAGGATAACTAACAAAATATTCCCTTATACTTATTTTCTCACCTAATTTTTATCTTCTTTTCTATTCAAGAAAAATTCTTATCATTTTGCAAAAATTGTAAATCTGACCTCAATTAAGATGTTAAATTTGACTACGCACCATGGCATGGTAGTTTATGAAGTTCTTATAACACCACTTCGAAGATTTACCAGACTTGAGAAATCCTTTGTATACATTTAGAAAAGTGACATGGTCACCCTGCAATGGATGATAAATTGAAAGTTATAGCACAATAATTGTTGGATTCTCAAAAAAGTCATACATAGTACATGAAACTTTAGAAGCAAATAAACATGAAAACCAATCATTACAACATGCATTTTAAGAATTAAATTGCAATTATATTCCCTAATGCTATTATCACCATGTGATACGAAGAATTAAAGTTAGTTTAATAATATAAAAAAGAACATATCCAACAACGTGCATTTTAAGAAAAAAATACTGCATAAATATGTAAATTGGTCCAGACACAGCTGAACAATTGACAAGAATAAAAGTGAGGTACTGCAAGTATCAAAGTAGCAATTGACACTATAGTTTCATGAATAACCTCTTTAAGTAGTAAAATACAGCCCATTTAGTCCAAATCTCACTCTGTTCATAACTACTTTCTATTTGAAATTTTAATATTAGTTGTAATATATAAAATTACAACATCATTTTCTATAGTTCAGTTACCCTCCCTGCATTCATTGATGGCGGATTCCCAATCCTTCTTCTCAAAGTGCAAATCAAATCCCAGCATTTAACACTACTATGAAAATTAAAATTACAAAATTACTAGCAGCGGAATGGAAATTGAACCAAATGCGACTTTACACAAATCATATCTGATTAGCATGAAAAGTGAAAATACCTCAGAAGCAGCAAATCTCAGCTTGGCTTCATCCAGTTCCTTCTGTGACCCCCTAACAGAAACCCAAATAGACTGGAAAAATAACCATAAATGTTAGCTTAAGGAATATGTTAAAGAGAAAAGTTCAAGCCCCAGTAGACATAGCTTTATAATTTTATATTTTTATTAATTTTCCTCGTTAGCAATATGAATAAATTAGAATTTGCTGTTTCTAGACAATGAAAAATAAGAGAATATTTAGCCACATTGCAATTGTAAAGATATGGAGGAAAGAAACAGAGGTTTACTTGGATTGAAAGAATAGCGGCTATGGTAATGATCTCCTCTGAACAACCAAGTTCTTGAGAAGCTAAAATCATTTTTGAGATCATTGGATCCTACAAAATATTCAAATTCAACATTGACAATTAAATATAGGCCTAGGGTCCACATAAAAAAACTAATTTGCAACATGGCCATTTAAGGTAAAATATCAAATCAATTAAAGCAAAAACAAAACCCATAAAAATATATCTAGCAGTATAACAAAAGATTTAATGAGGTAATGAATACCAGCAATACGGTTCCTCAAACTGCAGGACTATTAATTCTCAAACCAATCCACTAATGCATAATTGTGGAAATAATAGGAAAAGAAAGAAACACATGCTAAACAGTAAATAATTTACCTATTTAAAAACAAAAAGCACAAAATTCTGACACTAAATGGCTTGATAACTATTGAATAAAAGACCAACTTCACTCAATGCATAAAGAAATTGTACACGGATATTTACTTCATAAGATGAAAAGAAAAACTAAGAATTGACAGAAGCTAACAAATAAGTATAGATTATATAGGAAAAACCTAATTAAAGGTCTACCAAACTAAAATTTTGATTCCTATTTTAGACATTGAGTTCTTATACCTAGTAATTCAACAAAGTGATTCCAAGTGTAAAACTGCATACCCATGATGTTAAATCCCAAGTGATGAATTCAAAATTCTCCATTCAAACCATTTACAGTCCCATAACCCATGATAGAGGATAAAAATGAAACAACTGGACAAAAAGAAATTACCCAAGTGCAAGGGAAACTGACAGCAGACTCCAACTCACAAGACTCTCTGTCTGCATTAGTAACTAAAACACACATGTTAGCCTTATCTTCGATTTCCAAGAGCAACAGCTCGGTAATATCCATAGCTAAGAAACTACATGCCTATCCTAAGTTGATTAATACTACCAACAAAAAACCCTCTTAAGGGGCCACCCTTTTGCATTGTTTATGAGGGTGAACACCTATGACACCTATCATTTGATGATAGTATCAGTGAGAATCAGCCATTTGTATTTTCAAATTCATGGAAATTGAATTTGGGGCATTTCAGGACAAAGAAGGAGGTGTCTTGATGATCTTGCTCGCATTTCTCCTTCCTCCTATTATGGCTAGCTTGGCTAATATCACTTCTGCCCCAATAATGTTTAGCTCAAAGATATTTGAACAACTCATCCAGAGATCACTAGCCCACAAATGTCGCCGGATCTTGCTCCCATTGTAAGCAATCCTATGCACCATCCTTATGATAGGATTTTGAGAATATTTTCAACTAACGATCATAAATGACCCATAACCCCTGGCTCGAATATCAAATTGGTAAGTTCCCTTGTTTTAGATCTGGTTATAGGCCTAGATATTGAGAAATTAGAGAAGAGAGCCACAGAAGTTCTCTGCAACTTCATTCCTTTACGACCTATCTGTCAGAAACCTTGCCCATGGTTCTGACTTGAGTCGATCGAAAGGAAGGAAACAGAGTTTCACTGTTTGAATTTAAGTATATTTTTCTGAATTACCTTTCCAAACAAAGGCCCATATTTATAGGCCAGGTTTTGGAAGGCACGCTTATCTATTAGGCACGTGATCAAGTGGGAGTCTGATTGGATGACCTTTCTATCCTTTTCCTTTACAATCATTTCCCATTTTACTGTTTTTCCAACAATACACTTTAAGAGGCTTCCTTACACTATCTTGTTTAAGGAAAGTACTCCACCTTCATCTGAAATACATCCATAAGTCTAATCCCTTCAAGATAACCTTATATAGGCAGGCAGTATACAAGGAACAGTCAACTGCTACTCCAACATAACAGTTTTCAGGGATAAGCAGTTGTTTGAAATGATTAAAATTCTAATACCAATTTCATAAGACAAATTAAAACTTCTAAAATTAACTGCTTTCTTGATTTAGTCCCATAATCACTTTAAATTAGAAAAAAAATACAAAATTAAACATAACAATCAATCAGACTACTAATTGCTAATCTTCTAGTTCTTCCCATGAGTAAGGTGATTACAAACTTTGCTGCTAAAGGGTACTGTTCTGGATAGAACAACTCATTCGGTTAACTGTTAGTTCACTACAATTGCTTCCTTCACCTAGCGTACAGTTTGGAAAATGATTTAATGTTGGACAATCAAACGAGGAGAAGGCCCTGCATTAATCACTACTTCTAATGATTAAATGAATGTGAATCCCAAAGCCATGTTTTATCTTGTTGTTTGAAACTGTAAAGAACTGAGATTCAGCTATTCGCACACACCACCTATGCAGGGTTATGAGTTGCTCTGCCAAAGACGAAAATGGGTCTAGATTGTGATTTTGGCACTACTCCAAAAGAAAATTCGTCATCTTCATCCTAACGACTATATTTTGGATCACCAAGAAGAAGAAAAAGAAATCTATAAGCTTGTATATTTTGTATATCGCTGGCAACCCCTGGTGCCATTTTAATTCAGTTCTTTTCCCTCCCAAAAGAAAATACCCCATGCAGGAAAAGTTTTTCTTAAACTCTAACAATAAGGAACTTGGAGGACTTTCAAGGATAACAAGGTAACAAACACATAGTCATGAAGTGTTCTGCATAAATATGTCAAAAAGCAAAACCCCTTAAAAATAAAAATCGAAAAGAAGGAATATCAAAGAAAAGAACAATAACTAACCAAAGCTGCATGTCAGACATCCGCATATTTAGCTCTCATAGAACAAGAAAAATAAATGAAACATGAAAGATAAGAGTGAAACTCTACAAATACCAGTAGAAAAACTAACCAGAAGTTCTTACCAGCCCATCAAAAATAATCACACCATTGGATAATAGTGAAAAAGAAACACAAATTCTGATTATTACTAAATATATATCGACTACGTACCAGTGGAATTTCTGCAACTTGAAATCCTGCTGGTGAAGTTAGTTTGGCATCATCATCCAGAACACCAAGTGAATAAAGTAATTCAAGTGCTCGGATCATTGCTTCAGAAGATGGTGATGATGGCCAATCAAAGCCCAAGATATTATCTATACCTAAGGCTTTTAACTGAGGGATCAGAACAAAAGAATCGGAAAGTTATTCATTAAATAGGAAAATGTATTTTCGTATAATCAGAGTAAAAGATATACAGTAAAATACCCATATATGTAATTAATTGTATACTTCCTTATAATATCCTAAGAACACATATATTGGGCCCTCTAATTCAATAATAAATACAGCATTAATTCTTGCACAGTTGTACTAGGAAAACTGTAGCTAAGGTGTAAAGTACATATCGCAAAGAATTACTGCTTAAAAATGAGCACCAAAACTATCATACCGAAAAGAAAGTAGAAGCATACATTCTCTAACAGAAGAAGTGACTTGTAACAGAAAAATATATTTCTGCTCTAAGCAAATTAAATTTGAGATATAACTGAGAAAGCACTTACTCAAAAAAATATGTTTCAAGAACTTTTGACATGAATTATAATTAGAAATCATCATATTCAATTTTCTCCTATACTCTTATAGCATAGAGCAAACTCTTGCCTAAGTTAAAAAAATGCACAAACTAGTCATCTGTAATTGCAATGAGAGTGAATATCTGAATCTGTTGAAAATCTACTCATGTAGCTTTTCTTATTTGTTTTTACAGCTAAGAATTCTGGAAAAATCCCTAATCTTTCTCTATGTACCATTTGGATTTTTTTTCAATTCTAGGTATCCAGATTGTAGGAATTGATTGCAGGTTCGAATTTTCATAATTAAGCTGACCTTGTATATGATGAATACTGATTATCTGCTGCTTATTTGTGAACAAGAGAAATTTAATGCTTTTCCAGATAGTATTGAAGCAATCCACTCTCTGGGAATTTTTTTTGCTACAGACCTCTCTTCATTTGTGGACTAGAAAAATTCCTCAGCCTTTGTTTTTAATTATTGGCCTTCATAGTCAAAACCCCTTTTTTCACTTCCTTTTTCCCTTTTCTTAAAAATGACATAAATTTCTAAAAAATATTAAATCCCTTAATGATCACAACTAAGATCATGTCAAATGAGTGAACACCAGAACTTCAAGACATTTGTAGCTCATATAGACTGAACAATTAAAATTATCTTTGATGATCATATATCGTCAGAACATTTCATAATGCTCATCTGCAAAATGTGACTAGAGCTTTTCTTTTTTATAAAAGATTCACCAAACTTACTCAGGAAGTTGTGACTATAGCGGCTTACATAATCAACCACCTGTTTTCATGGGTTCTGGGGCTTAAAACACCAATGCAGACATTTTCTCAGTTTTATCCTAATCTAAAATCAATAATTAAAATCATCTCAAGAGTCTTTGAATGCAGTAACTTTATCCATACTTGTAGCCAGACCAGAGAGAAGTTAGATTCAAGAGCTATTAAGTATTTAATTGGTTATTTACCAATCCAAAAAGAGTACAAATATTATCATCCAGCTACCAAGAAATTTTTTTTTTTTTTCTATAAACGTCATTTTTTATAAGAAATTCCTTTTCATCCATTTAAAATAATGACATGAACTTATTTTTGCTTGACTTTATCACCAACAGAACTATCCATGTATCAGTCAACGTGTACCACCAGTTACATCATCTTAGTCCATGTCAACATCCTAAGTCATTCACACCACACTTGTAACAGATGGCCATGAACTTCTTAATCCATTAAGCTCTATGAGCTGTGTCCTAAACAAAGAAAACCAATACTTGATCCTATTCAAGTTCAAGACTCAACTCGATTAGGATGAGGTAAATATCATTCATGAATTTTTTGCATAGTTAGCTCACAATCATGCTCTTCTTATTGCCACTACGAAAGGTATAAGAAAATGCAATAAGCACTTATTTTTTCCATTACCGAAGTTATAGTTAAAAATATTCCAGATCTGGCATGCAGCAAAAAATATCTATACTTCTTTTTTATTTAAGAAGCAACAATAGTTGCATACAGAAAATCTTAATCATCATGAAGTGCTTTGATACGGGCCTAGCTAGTTAAGAAGTTGGAGATTCCTGAAAAAGCAGTAACATATACTGCACAGACAATTCATGAAACATATGAATACCTGAATAACAGAAGAAGCAAGATTTGATCGCTGCATCTCAGGGATCCCCTCTGCAGACATTTCATTGACAAAAAACCCTTCCGTGTATAGCCTGGTAGAAATAACCAAACTAGGTCAAGAAACTGTCTTAATTAGGCTCAAGACAAGCACTATTTCCAAAATACAATAAACTAATAAGAAACTTCTTACATGTAAAAGATGTTGACAGTATGTATACAACAATCAAATACATCAAACTAGCACAGTCAGCAATGAATCAAGACTGCATTAACCATAAGGATACTCAGACCCCTCCATTCTTTCTCTCTTTTTGACAGGAAAAGAAGCTTTATTTAGAAAGGAAAAACCCCTCCATTAGATTGTTGTCAAAGAGATATCTTCAATCATTAAATTGAATGGTTAATTACATAACTATAAAAGAGACTAGTCGAATCAGGCAAACACTACCAATGGTGTACATTGTAACAAGCGTCAAAATCAACATCCTTACATTTGGAGCAATAAAAGATGGTTTTAGCATGAAAACTTTAACAAAATAGCAATTCCGGCCGCCAATATGCCATTACATGCAAGAATCCAAGAAACAATAAATGCCAAGCCATTAATATTTCTTCTCACAACTTCAAGAAGATCATTTTCAGGATGCGGAGGATTTTTTAGGAAGATACCTGTAGCACTTCCCAGGCCTAACTCTCCCAGCCCTACCAGCCCTTTGCCTTGCAGATGCCTTGGATATTGGTGCTACTACAAGACTTTCAATGTCTGAAATCTGTAACAAAGTTAACAATGAATATATAATGAAAAGGAAATTTTTCTAAGCTTCAAGAAATTTGAGAAATGGAAGGTAGAAAATTAAGGGCCTAAGACTATTACATAAAATCAATGATTTACAATGAAGTCTCATATAAACTAGAACAAAGATAAATGAATAAATTAATGAAATAAAGTTACTGCAAAAAAGCATCTATATAATTAAAAAACTGAAACTATTCCACCTTTGAGTTATTAGCATTACTGAACAGCTTTTCTCAACATTGAATTAAAATGCGGCAAAAGAAAAGGCAACCTACTCATCTAGATGATCAAGAAAACATTAAAAGGAGTATTGATAGAAAACAAAACAACCCTAACTTGGACTTACTTTTAGCATTAAGAAAGATGTACATAGTTAATTTATCTATCCAATTGAAGTAAATTTTAAGTTATTAAGATCTTAGGCTATTTAAGTAGATTTCAAGCCATAAAAGCTTTGATTTCCTATTTAATGATTATAGTATTTACTTTAGTTCTAATTACTCTCTATTTAAACCAAGAGCATATAGCGTAAATGGCATAACCTTCTTTTAGTTACATATAATGACTTGAGTTTTACCCTTATACTCTCTCCCATTTTCTCAAAAAGAAAAATATTAATACATATATATAGAGGCCAATAAACTATCAACAACAAGAAACAGACAGTAATGAATCAAAAATTTCTTGTGCTAGAGCTACACTATCTCTCTGTGTTCATTCTTTTAAATCTATTCTATTTCACCTATTATGTTCAATCTACTTTCCGTTATATTTCTTCACTTTAATCTCCAATTTTATACAGTCTACTATTCTTCTGTTTCTCACCTGAATTTCCTCTTCTTTTAAACTATACATGAAAAATTAGTACCCATACTACTTGTCTTGTATAAATTGATATAAAAGCAAGAGAATCTTAAATGGGAACAGTTAGCACTAAGAAAGATACATGTATTATTATTATTATTACTAGTATTATTATTATTATTATTATTACTGTTTTGTTACTATTATTAATTATCTTTTGTTTATTTAGCCTTCAGGTAGATTATATGTTATTATAAACTTGTAGACTAGTAAGATTTTAATTTATAAAGCTTTTGCTTTCTTCTTAAAATGGATTTCTAGAGCATATGATAAGGTTTATTAGAATTTCTTGGATAAAGCTATGGACAATAAGTTTTAGAGATATACAAGAGATGTGTATGAGAAGATATTTATATCCAGCAACTTTCTCTTTCATAATTAGCAGAGAGCCTGAAACTTGGTCCAGATATGAGAGAGCAGTGAGAGAAGGAGATCCTCTCTCTCTCTCTGTTCTAAGTTACATTGGTGGTTGGTGTCTTAAGTCATATGCTTCCTAGGGGTCTCGACAGGGGCTCTTTAGGGGAGTTTACTCATGGAGGAGGATGCTGTAGAAGTTTCTCATTTGAAGTTCGTGGATGACACCATTTTATTTCTTAGGATAAGGATGTCTTTCTTAATAAAACCTCTCTGTTTTACAGGTGTTTGAGTTGACAGCTAATTAATTTGAATAAGGGTGAATAGGCTAGCATTAAGTTTAAGAATCACGTACATCATTGCTGACCTTCCAGAGACTTGGTTTCACTATCTGCATTTGTCTGTTACCTATTTAGGGATGAACCTGGGCATCTTCTGAAAAATTAGTATATATTGTACATTCTCATGCTAAAACTCAAAAATCGAACATCAAAAATTCAATTAATGGAACGACCAATTTCAAGGGCAAAATCACCGATAAACTTCAAAAAGGAAACCCAAGAAAAAAAGTAAAAGCAAATACCATACTTGAATAAAATCATTCATAGTATTTCTAGAAGGTATCTTTTTTCAGTTCAATATGACCATAATTTCAGTTCAATATGACCATAATTTCAGTTCATAAATTAGTTTTGGCAAAAGCCTAAGAGCAAAACTAAATGAAATAGTAAGAATAGAGAAGAAAACCACCTTAACTAGCAACACAATTAGATAATTTGAATGTCAAATAATAGAAGTGGAAAACTACCGGATTGTAGAAACGTTGTTTTGAGAATCCGCTGTCAACAACATAAACAATACCCTGCAAAAATATTAGGTAGAAGGTCATCCAAATAATGCAATACAAAGCTTTTATTTTTCCTTATTCTCTTCAAGCTATAGGAAAAAGGTTAGAAGAAAATAACTACTCCTTGCAAACCCTCCAGGTTTCCAATGGAGAAGTGTCTAATCACCAAGGAACGAATAATAAGAGAAGCTTAGATGGATAGCTTGCAAAAGGTAAATCTTTCTTTACGAACCTACAAATCGAGGCCAGAGCCACCAGCTCAAGGGAATTTGCCAAAGTCACACCTCCATTCTACAGAAGGCATAGTGGTTGCTAAAGTATAAATATAATAACTAAATCACGTTCTATTAACTTAAGCTTTTGACGTAATTGTTACTTACAACAATTATTTCATATGATATTAGAGCTTGAAATCAAGATTTTAAATCTTGATTACTCATATTTCTATTAAAATTAAATTTAGTGCAATGTATGTTAGTCTATGCTTCATTCACTTTCAACTTATGGACTTAACATCTTAAAATAAATGTTACTGCTTGATTTCGCCTATAAGTTTAATCTTTTAAAGTAACCGGTCATCAATTCAGTTAATAACAATGATTAAACCAAGAAGTGCAGATTGACTTGCATTTTCCTTAAACTATTAAATTGAGCCCATAAAGACTCAAAAGTCAAACCCATAGCCCTAGTTACATCTGACCTAGCCAAGAGAAGCAAGTTTAGCCACTAGGCTAATCTTCATTGCTTTGTGATTACACTTTAATTGTTTAAAAACAAAAAGAGAAGTTCAATGACCAGACACCAAGGGAATGGCGCCATTGTAGAAAAACATTCTCAGCAGCATCTTGTCAGTAATCTATAGGATCTCCTAAATCTTTACCTTTTTTCAAGGGGTGAACTTTGCAAAAAATGCTAAGTGCGCAAGATAAAAGATTGCTAGTCCTATTAAAGGGAGAACAAATAGCATGGAAACTAAATTATACTTTCTTGTACATAAATAAACAGAACTTAAGGCCAAAGCCAAACTTTCACCTCATAGAACATGCAAGTGAAGTTACCCGCTAGGCTAAGCCCCTATCTAAATGATGCAATTCCTGATGACTGACAAGGAACCAATTTCACAAGCCTTGCTAATAAGTCCATACCTCCAAAGTCAATGATGTCTCGGCAATATTTGTTGATATCACTACTTTCCTCTTGCCACCAGGAGTGGGTGAAAATACCAGCTCCTAAAGAAATAAGAAAACAGCAGACTCAATTAATTGGATATTCAATGATAATGCATAAACAACTTAAATATAACATAGAAACCAGATAAAGCATTACTAACCTGATCTGCTCGTGAAAGTCCGGGATATAAAGGAAGAATGATTAATCCTGAAAATTAAAATTTAATCATGCACTCATCCCCAGTTAAGGAAATGAAATTCTGAAAATACATCAAGAAAAATTTATATCCCACCGACTATTACAATCAACTCAATGTCAACTAATGAACAGTGTAAAATGGTTTATTTCAAAGAAAAAAAAAAATAGCGTAAAATTGCTTTGAATTGCTAATTTTACTGTAACTGTAGATTTCCATGCTCCATCTATGCCCTTATGTTATTTGAACACTAGCAAACAAAAACTTAAAGATTGTTGTGGTCCCTACTGATGGATCGAGTTACAGGACAATGAGCATGAAAACCAGTAGGATTGTAAGTATTCTGTGTTATAGACAATAGAAAACACAATTGCCACTTGTTCATATATTGCGAGACACCCTGAATACTTTGGACTACAGTGTTTGAAATGTTCTGTTTATGTTGGGTTACTCCTCTCGCAGTGGAAAACTTGATGCACGCTACCATTCAGGGGGAGGGAGTACGAATAGGGGCAAAACCCTTTGGAAAGGGGCCATTATTACAGGGTTATGGATTTTATGGCTTCAATGGAATCGAAGAATTCTGGATGATTGCTACTCATCAATTCAGGAGATGTGGGATAGATTAATATTTTTGGCTAATGCATGGGTCAAAGCTCGTGGACATTATTCCAACCATGCTCTCATTGAGATTCATCAGAATTGGGATGTGTAAGGATCCAGGTGCAATCAAGAGAAAATCAGCAGGGAGGCAGAGGATCAAAAGAGGTGCAGAGAGGTAACAGTAGCAGGGAAGCATAATGAGAGCATGGGGAGCATGGTGGAACCATCCGCAAAGGAGTGGGTGGACTTAAGGAGCCCTAACCACGTGTCATAATCCTGTGAATACAGGGAGACATTTGTCATACTTTGAGCCGTAGAATCACCTACCGATCAAGGTTGAAATCTTGACCATCTGATCCTCTGCTAGGGAAACGTGGTCGGTGATTTGGAGGGGTATTTAAGGTAAATAGGATTATGGTTTTCTGGAGCTGATAGATGCATTTCTGCTGTTTGGGGTTCTCTCTTGGTTTTCTTCCTCTTCTACTTGACAGCCTATGGTTCTCCTCCGATTTCTCCCTTTCTGTTTCTATTTTTTCTCTCTCTCTCTCTTTCTCGTATCTCTCCCTTTCTTTCTCTTAAATCCAAACGCATCTTCTTAAATTGGAACCATGTACACAGGTCCTGACAGGATGCTTTTCTTTGGCCTCCTACAGGTACCTCTTCTAGTTGATATGTACTTAATTTACTTCTTTTTGGTTTTGGCATGGATATCTTATTTCTCCGTGCTTGTATTCATCTCTTTCTTGTCATAATAATAATTCTTTTAGAATCATGAGTATTTTTGTGGTCTTTCGTTATCGTATCTTGATATTACTACGGACTTATTAGGAAAGAACCTAACAATTTTTAGAGTAAG